GGATGATGGATCATATACACCTTGCATTTATGTTCAGAAATGCTAATACTAAAACGCACCAGCCTTTCATTTATAAACAAGTCATTCTTCATCGTGGTTTCTTTGCTTCACACACACATGGGCTTCAGAGACAGCAGAAGGCCGAGGTCAGAAGAAACTTCTGCAGCTAAGCGTCGTGGAGTGGGCAGGCTGCCCTTCCCCTCTGGAGTCCAGCTATAAGGAGAGGGGACCCTGCCCAGGCCTCAGTGCCATGGAGACCACACCTTCCCCAGGCAATTGAACAGGCAGAGATGAAAGCGCAGTGGCCACGACGGATGACCACTCAAAGAAAGGCAGTTACAGGTAAGCAAACTCTCTTTTCCATAGCACGATGAGATTTCACTTTTCATTCCCATAACAGCCAAATACACCTTCCTAGAATTTAGCCTCTTCAGGAATGAATATCATTTCCTTGCTGCCAACTCAGAGAAGGATGTTGTGGAGACTTAAGGCTTAGCCAACCTTCGTAGTATCTTAATTTGGCCTAAGTTCTCAAGATGTTCACCCCTTGCATTTTATTGGATAGCTATCATGGGGGTCTCTCTCTCTTTCCCACAAAGGGTTAGTTTTGGGAATGTTCCACCTTCGCTTCTTGAAAAAAGGGTGGTATAACCAAGTAAATTACACCAGAAAAATGAAACAAGGGGGTTTGAGCCTGCTTTTGTATGAATTTTGTTTGAACATCAGGAAAAGCATTCAAATGGTTAGCATAATAAGACAATGGAAGCCACTGGTGAACTCCCTGTCACCCCTTCCCCATGATACTATGAAATCTAGCAAATCTCTCACTAAACTTTACAGCAGCATAGATGAAATTGCTCCCCAAACAGGGCAGCAGTAGTTCAAGCAAATGCCAGTGTGAACTCCGTCCACAAGATGGGAAACCATGATGAGCCTTATGTCAGAACAACCATTAGTGCAGAAAGCTCCCCCCTCCCCCGCAAAAGAAACAAAACTCGCCACAGCCAATTCATGCTCCCAGCTCCTACTTTCAAGTTGAGCAGAATGGCTGTAGATTTAGCTTCTTATGTGGTCCTAGAAAAGCTGGTCCACTTGATATAATGATCTAATGATGCCACTTTATAGCAAGCTTGGTTCTGCTGTTGTGCAAAACAAGTTCGTCTGGCAGTGCCCAAACTTTGCTTAGATTTGGAGTAAAGAAAAAGGATTGTCCAGTCTGGCTTCTCCATCAACATTTATCAGCATTTAGTTCATTACAAACGTGGTGTGTACAACTCATAAGTGGTGCTGCATGTTCAATTCACAGTGAACTTGTGACACAAAGGTTGAAATGTTGTGTTTCCCCAGCAACTTGTGCAATGATTCCAAAACATTTCTGTAGTTTAGATATTCCAGGACACAATGTGTCTGGCTGCAGACATAGCACACTTTTGGGAGCACCCGGCATGGCTGTCGTATCCTTCTGCTTGCAGGTTTTTCAAAAACATACTTCCAGTAAATGCCTCCTCTTAGAGATAAAGGCTGAAGCCACACCTGCCCTCATCACTATGGCCAAGAGCCCAGTCCTCACACTCTGCCTCATGTCTTCAGAGCACTTGATTTAGAAAAGTGGCAGTTGTACACACACATGCAAGCCCATGCAGGCCTTTTATAAAGAAAAGTAGAGCTATTCATTGCATCATTTCAAGAACTTTTCCTTATTTGTTACATTGCATTTTCACTTAAAGAGGTTCCATCTCTCCCAGCACTAAAACTAACAGCACTTGAGATTGAAAAGGAAAATAGTGAAAATGGGGTTTTTTCCCTCTTGCAAGTAGACTTCCGTTCCCTCCACCCCTGTTCCTATGGCTGCCTGGTTACCAAGCGGGGCTGAGCCCCTGTTGCACCAAAGAAGCAAGTGGAGAGACGCAAGTCGAGGAGGAAGTAGCACCATTTACAAACTGTAAAGGATGTGTCACATCCTTTGCCTAGCACAGGAGTAAGGAACATGTTACCCTCCAAATGTTTTGGACTACAGCACCCATAATCCCAGCCTCATTGTGGGCATTCACTTGGCACATCCTATTACATCAAGCTGACAATTTTATGACCTTGTGAGGAGAATTGATGTTTTCTTTATGCCAGGCTGTGTGTCTTCTGGCTGGCGCTATGAAGCTGTAAAAGAATTAGATGACTTAATAGATTTATAGGTTTGTTTCTTTCCTAGGAATTGATGCTCTGATAGTTTTGAATAATGAGGGATGTTTGTCATTGCTGTGGAGAGCAATATTTTTTTCAGCTTCTTGCCCTTGCCTTCCTGTGAGTTCTTGCATCTGTTTATGAAAGCTCCAGGAAACTTAAACAAGCATTTTCTTGCTAAAGGGCATGCTGCATTTCTGTTTTTTCCTCCGTGCCAAGTTTCCCAGGTTCAGTCTCTGTCGTCTCCACATAGGGCTGGAAAAGACTCATGCTTGAAACTCCGAAAAGCTACTTCCAGTCCATGCTCAGCAGGACAGGGCAGAAAATTCATGTTTAAGTTGAAGGCAGAAGAAGAAAAGGAAGACCAAATAAAAGATAGTTTGACTCCCAAGAGGAGCCACAACCTTGAGCTTACAGGTCTGTCATGGATGGGACATTTTGGGCGGCTGTCATTCATGGGGGCACCGTAAGCCAGAGATGACTTGATGGCACATGGCAACAGTGGATGTTTTGACCTCCTAACTCCCAGCATTCTTTACCACTAACCAGGCTAGCAGGTGCTTCTGGGAGATGAAATGAAAACCATGTTGAGATCTAGCCTCTGCCTATCCCTGAGCTAGATAGGTGAAGTGAAAGCTCACCCTATTTCTGCTCTTTCCTTGCTCTGAATCTGCAACATACTGGGAAGGGGAAGAACTTCTCATTTTCTCTGTGTACATTTATTGCAAATACTCTTACTTTCTGCTACGAGAGTCCAAGATGGAGAATCATAAACAAATAAAAACCCTTCAGTAATGTATTAAAAGGAAGCATTTTTTAAATGCTACAATTAGCTGCAAGAACACAAACAGCTTGTTAATAGAACCATAAGGAACTTCATTCAGTTGTTTCAGAAACACTTTCCAGAGGTCAAGGATAAACTTAGCAATTCAGCAGATCAAAAACCTGCCAGAAAACAAAAATCTTGACACAATGGCAAAAAAAGCCATAAATGTAAACCAGCCTTCCTCAGCTTGGTGTTCTCCAGAAATTGTAGGCCTCCAAGTCCTCAACTAGCATGGTGAGGTCATGTGATGGGAATTGGACTCTTAAAACATCTAGAGACCTAGCTGTAGGAAAGCAGCAGGGTTTTGGGGCACCAAAGTCAAGATGTAGGTTCAAGTGAAGCAACTTGATGCTGCATCACATTTGGTGCCTGTTTAAGACACACCCTGAACTTCATTAGGGTGCAATTTTTCTGAGATAATTTAAGTGATATTTAGAACAGACCCACTGTTAGTAATGATTGCCTTGATCTCACTGATTTCAATGGGTCTGCTTTACATTTCACTAGATCTGAATTCAACCCTTTACCAAGCACTTTGCTATGTTCTGTTAGAAATATCTTTTGTGTGTATTGTTGAATTTTCTTAAATAATATTAAACAACTACTTCAGGTTAGTAAACCAGATGACTACAAATAAATACATGTTAAAGACATGCACTCTTACATGGGTTCTTACACATCCCAACCTCGTTACCTTTATAAAAACTGAGCAATCCCACAGCACTGCAAAAGCTTTGCATCAATGTAATACAAATCAAGCAGCTTTCCACAGCTAATACAGCTGCAGTCCTACAGCAGTGGTAAAATCCTCTCAACAATTCATTAGTGAGTCATTTGTAAGATACGTACACCAAGATGGAGGACTCTGTTTTTTCGCTCCAGAAATGTCACAGGATGTTGTGATGGCCACTAGTCTAGGTGAAAGGATTTTAAAATTTTCATTATTGTGTTATTAAGGATACATTCAAGAGGAGAGGTTGATCGGGGCTAGTAGCCATTGATTTACAACTCTGGCCAGAGGGGGTACTATATGAACCAACAAGACGTAGGTGCTAGTAACTACTGTTTGTAACATTCAAGAGGAATGTCGCTTGCATAGTGTTGAAGATAGATTAGTACTAAACTAAATGACACTTTAGCCTGTCTTCATATCATAGTTCAGATGAGCTGAACTGGGAACACACAAGGTAGCATCCCAGCATCACAACAAAGGAGAAGTTTTCATGTATACATGCAAAGATGGTAGTATACTTTGAGTAGAAAAGCAGTGTGGGACAGACTCTGACCAGGTGCTTCCCATGTCTCTGCTTAGTCTGTCATCCAGGTGCTGTCGATGGGCAACCCCAAAACCCCTGAATACTGTTCTGATAGCTTGCTATCTTCAGACTTGTCTTGGGCTCGACAGTCTCCAAATAGAGGATACTTTTCCAAAGTAGGGCTCATGGTCATCCTCATGGTACCCCAGCATGAAAGCAACATACTTTTACTGTGAGCATTGCTGCACTTGGTTCTTGTTCTTTCTCCTGCCGACTTCCTCAAATTTGCACTTCATGGAAACGCAGCCTTAGCTCACATATCAGCACTGACCCCTTGGCCAGCTGCTCGGGCTAAGAGGGTGTTCCCAAGACACTTTGTCTGAAGCTGCCAGTTGGCACTGCTCTGTGAGAAGGCAAGCTCTGCTCTCCTCACATCAACTTGGGCCTGGCTGTTTCAGTGCATGCAGCCTGGAGGTGGTGAATCATGTTCCTCCAGAACTTACTGGACACCCAACATCTATCAGCCCCAGCCAGCATGGCTGTTTGGCAGTGGTGGAGGTTGTAGCCCAACGACGTCTGGATAATGACATCTGATTAGCCCAGCAGGAGCAGGCCTTGTTAGGCCAAACCTGAACAGAGTTCCTATTAGGTCACCACCACAACATCCACAAAGGAAATGAAAAACTAGCCCCCCGGGATGTTTCCATCTTACACCAGAAGTATTTTTATTGCTCTGGCCACCCATCAAAGGAAGTTTATTTTTTAAAAGGACAGCCCTGGTTTTGTACTGTGTGGTTGCACTCCACAGTGCAAAATGAAGCCATTTCCACTGTATTTCTTTAGGCGGCTTTCCCCTGCACCGGGCACAAGCTACACGAGGGTGGCAAAGGCTCTGGGCACCTGGTTGCGGCCGTCGAGGCTCTCGGGGGCCCTGCGAGGGTCTCCCGCGCTGCCGGTTCCTGCCAGACTATACTGCATCTTGGCCTCCTGCCTTCGAAGCTCCCGCTTGCTCCGAAGGGTGAGGGCGCAGACCACGGTGCTTGCGCAGTAGAGGCAAGCCGCCAGAAGTCCAAAGAGGGCCACAGCCGCATCTCCGCCCTGCACAATGCAGTTCATTGAGGTGTAGCCTTGCCTCGCGTACAGCCGCTCTCTCCGTTTGCATACTTCTGTGGCATTGACTTGCATGACAAAATGGAGGTACAGCCCCACGGCTGTGATGTACCCCAGGCAAGCGAGGGTGTCAAAGAGGCACTCCATGAAGAGCAGCTTGGCTGAGAGTCGGTGGAGTGGTTTGGCTCCGCCGACAAGAAAGAGAAGGGTGAGGCACATCATGGTCAGGCTGAAGGCCACCCCACCGTAGACGCCAGGTGCTCGCATCTGGTTGTACTGCATGTCCAGATCTCTCACTTCCTGGAGCTCGGTCCCTTCGAACGGGCTGTAGATCGAGTTGAGGCTGAAAGAGCCAAAAGCGCCGAAAGAGCTGAAGCCAGATAGGCTGGCCTGTGTTGCCGCAATGCAGATGAGCACCATGATGTTGACTATGATTTCAACTAGCTGCAAGATACCTGGAGGTAAGAAAGCAAGCAGGGGAAGCGATGCTCATATAAATTGGTGTCTTTTTGACACGGTTACTTTCGGTGTGCAGAAAAGCACTGGAACACCAGCCTGTAGTTAAAATAACAGGGCAGAGTTGTACAGATGATCACAGCAGTCATGACTGATCGAAAAATGTTATGCCTTTCTTTTCTTTTGTCTTTACCAAGGTCTGTAATATTTCTGAGATTTCCATAATGCCTACAGCTTTGTGCTGGGTTGCGCGCAACAGGGAGAGGGAGAGGAAGAGAGTTTTATGCTTTGGAGGATGCAGAAAAGTACAGCCTACTCCTTTTTGCTGGCATTTGACACTGACAGCTGTCAGAAGATTTTTTTTTAAGCAGGGATTTAGGTAGAACAAAAAGGCAGAGTTTGGAAAAGGACGCATACAGATCTCAGATTTATACTTCCCTCTCCAAACTACCCTTTTTGCTCAGCCTAAATCTTTTTTTTTAAGCCTTACTTCTGACAGATGTCAAAGTCACATGTCAGTCAAAAGAGGGCTGCACGTTTCTATCCTCCCTTAAGTTTTAGGAATGGGTGGAAAATTGTGGGAAGAAAGGGATCTAAGGCTGGGGGCCACACACAAAACTCTTAAGGCCTTCACTGCCATTTATGCCCTGTCCAGAGAAAAGATCATGTGTGGCTTTGCTTTCCTCGACAGCTTCCCTTTTGACAGCTATCAGAGGAATGCAATGTGGAAAAAAGTATTTGGTGCCTCACTGAACTATTGTCCAGATTGGTATCTATTGCACTTTGGCACCAGGTTCTCCCTCGGGGCAGAACTCTCCCCCCACCTTTTTTTCCCTTTTCCCTTTCCTTTTTGCACCCACAAGTAGAAGTAAAAATTTTTCAACTCATGACAGCCCTTTCAATGTGCCATTAGGACAACTGAGAGCAGGGATATTATTGACTATCAAATCAGGGATCACAAATGACAATCTTGGGAAAAAGTAAAAAAAAGGTTAAAAGGGGGAAAAAGTCACCACGAACCAAAAAATTGTTTGCAGTTATAGCAGGTAGAGGAGACAAGGTGGCTTGAGCTGCTGTGTATGCTGGGAAATGGTCTGGAGGAATGAAGGGGGGGGGGGAATAGCCCACAGTGAGCCTGCTCTTCTGCTGGGTGCACTGCGGGTTTTTCTGTGAACAGCTAACCCATGGTGGCTTATTGCCAGGTTGGTTACTGCAATGTGCAAAGCTGCCCAGTGAGTCACCCACTTAAAATAAAGTTCTTAGCGAACCATCCAGATGTTGGAAGGCAGGGGACTAGGCTGGCTTTTCATCTGTGTAGCCTGAAAACATTGGCTGAGCCTAAGTGAGTAATTAGCGGGGGACCCACCATACTAAATGACGACGACAACAGCAAGCATGATGCCCATTTGTCCTGTGGGCAGCCACTCAAGCCTAGAATAAGCCAAGCTTTTCTCCAAGGGCAGGCGGCTGCAGTGGCTGAAGCAATTCTGCCAGATCAGCACAGCGCCAACACACAAATGAGCAGGAGTGACCAAAACTCGCGTCAAGCGCTTAAGCGCTGGCCACCAGGGGGCATGTTGGGATTAGTCAAGGTCCACCTCCCCTCGGTATTTTCATGCAGCATTTGAATTCTCAACTGCCAATTACTCCAGTATGATTCCTACCCCCACCCCACGTATGGAGCTTGCTAAACCAGTCTTGTCTCTGTTAGCTGCTCTAAGACATGGAAGGAAATAGGAGCTCAACCCTATACATGTTTTGACAGGACAAAAGTCCCGCAATTCCCAGCAAGCCTCGCAAACTTTCTTGTTCTACCAGTTTCTGCAGCTACCAAGCTTTTCAATGGGAAAACTGGGCATTAACCTTGTTTAAAACAAACAAGCAAGCAAACAAACAAAAAACCCACACAAAACAATTTAAAATGCATTGCAGCCGGTCAATCTAATTTGTGGATGCTGAAGTTTTGAAATGCTCTTTCGGCTGTTTTATCTGCCCCCAGCGCTTACTGTGCATTCGGCCTACCTGAGGCATCTCCTGTCCGAGGAGGACAGTGAGGTGGTGCAGGCAACATGCAGAAGGCAACCCAGCTGGTAGTCCAATTTTAGCTCTGCCGTCAACAACTGTGTCTGGGGGCACCAGGGTAGTTGATGGGGTGCAGGGCAGGCCCCAGGGAAAGGCTTTGTCTGCCAACTACTTTCCATATTCCCCACCAATCAGCATATGCCACCTCACCTGGCCATCTCACTCTGCCCAATGGCAGGACCAGTCCTGTTGCGGCCAGTTCCCATAAGCCCCTGACACACCGTATTTCACTGATCCAGAATTCTGAGGAAGTGCAACCAGGGCACTCACTTCCACAGACTTAGGATGCAGCTTTATGATCAAACTGCTTGCTGGCACGATTCTGGTTAGACAGGTTTCTGAGGAAGCAAACATTATCAAGAAGGGTAGGTCTCACTGAGTTAGTTCCAGCACTCGGAGGAGAGAACTGGGCATGTTCCATCTTGGGAAGGGAAGACTGGGGGAGACATGATATCCCATGATATCCTTCAAGGTACTTAAAGGCTGTCACAAAGAGGAAGGCCAAGATCTCTTCTTGCTGATGCCAGAGTGTAGGATACGGAATAACCAATTCAAGTTGCAACAACCCAGATTCAGGCTGGACATCAGGAAAAGCTTCCTCACTGTCAGAGCAATACAGCAGTGGAACCAGCTGCCTGGAGAGGTGGTGGGCGCTCCCACACTAGAGACATTCAGAAAGAAACCGGACAGCCATCTGAGTGGGTGGTGTAACATGGTGTCCTGCAACAGCAGGGAGTTGGACCTGATGGCCTTCGTGGCCCCTCCCAACTCTACTATTCTATGATTCTGTGACCTGCCACAGTTGCTTGGTAACACCTGCAATCAGTAATTAATAGCTAAGCTGCTTCTGGACACAGCAGGAATAAGAATGCAAGCCAAGTTTGCCTCATAAGTGCAGGCAGGCACATCTCAAGTGGATCTCAAGGTTGCGAGGTCTCCACCTCAAAAGCAGCCCTATGAAACCAGGCCAAGGCTGCCAGCAGGCACAAGTCATGCTGCTATTATGCACGGCAAAATGCAAGTGTACGAAGCAGCCTCCTGCTTCCAAGCCTGTACCTTTGCCCCGGTGGGGAGCAGCACCTTCACTCTCACATGGCTGCAGCTCACCTTCAAACCTCCACTCCTCCAGATAGACTGCACTTCCATCTGGTGGCAATCTACTTTTTCTACAGTAACCGATTCATCCTAGGCAGCATCCACAGGGCCCCAGGAGTGTTTGGCTTCCCTGATCTGAGGTTGCAAAAGAATCTGCAAGGAATCTTCAACATTTCAGAACAGGTACAGAAATTGAAGATAACTGAAACTAATTGAAGGATTCCTGCCAACCGGAATGAAAATGTGGCATTGCAAAAAGGGTCATATCCTTAACCTGCCTCAAAGCAACTGATTGGAGCCCCTGGTAAAACATTTCTTAGGACTGGAAGATCAAATTTTCACTCAATGAACTTCCTTCCTTCCCTTGTTCAACAGTATTTTGGAGAAATGAGTCCTAAAGACACAATCTGAAGAGGTGATACAACATCTGTAGCTCCAAGCATGAAATGGCAGTGACACATCTTTCTGGTACAGCTCCTATTCTGTTGACTTTGGAAGGAAGCCCATTTTGCCTCAGGAAGCACCAGAAATGTTCTGAGGGGTCCAGTACTGTTCAGGCTTTGTCCAAATCTGGTGCACTTTCCCCCACTCTGGCTTATCTCAGGTTTACACTAGGGACCTCAAGTGCTGTGCTTTACCAAACAGTAAGAAATATAGAACCGTAAAGATGCACATTATGCATGGTTGCATTTCCTTTATTTACATATTTAATTTTATGTAAATTGGGGGCTAATGATACATCCTAATCTATGTCTTGTGTGAGTGAACACAGTGACAACATAGTGTTGAGGTCGCCGTGCAGTATTCTAGTCAGCCAGAACTTCTTTTATCATTCTGTTCTCTCTCCCACCCAGTTCGCCATTTTGTTTCTGGGCAATCAGCATTCTGTGCCCACTGGGGCAACTCAGTCTACACCAGGCTGCTCTCAGGATATGCAGTGGGGAGAGATTCCCACTCAGGATTTTTGGTTTTCTGTTTGGATTTGTTAGGTACTTCTGTTGTTATCTCTGCCTTGTGCATGGATGCTAAAATGGCATGCCCATCTGAACATCAGAAAAGGAGAGAGTAACACAAGATAGGTGCGTTCACGTTGGGCAAACATCTACAGGTAGAGCCTGACAGTGTTAGCTGCACTGAAATTGATACGCAAAGTTAGTCACGACTTGAGTCTCAGTTATGGCTAATTATGCTTCACAATGATTTTAAAGGGAATGAAATGCAGTCCCTGTAGTCTAGAGGCAAACTATGTCAGCTGTATTCCTCATAAATGCTTTTTTTTGGGGGGGGGGGTTAACTGACCCCACACAATTGGAAATTAGAAAGAAGTATGAACCAGATGCCAGCTCTCCTGAAGACTGTTGAAGCTAACAGTAGAACTTAGCAATGCTTTCTGCTGCTCCAGTGCTGAGAAAGTTCAGCTAAGGACTACCCCTGCCATAACAATAGTTCCAATATTCATTCCCACAGTTGATTTCTATCAGTATTAAAACACTTCTCTAATTCAGAGAAGGTAAACAATGGTGCTGTGTATTGCAGTGCATGGCTAGAAGAGGAATCCAGAGAATTGTGGCGGAAAACTCCATAGCACCTTTGTGCTGAAGCTGAGCCCAGAGGGAGAGCCCAAAGGAGCAGCTCACAAAGGATCTCAAAGTGACAAACTCGAGGACGGCATAGGAGGAGGAGAACCACCACCCACAGACCGTTCCTCCTTCCCAGCATTCTGTCCACACAGGGACCAAGTGGAAGAACATCAGTATTACCGCTCTCTCTCAGCCGTGCTCCCCAAGAACTGGGGTGCACAAGCATAGCCACCATCACTGACCCTGTCCTTCTGGAGTTTGCCCAGTCTCCTTTCAGATCCATCCAAACTGGAGCCCATCTCAAGTTCACAATTACTGTAGAGAACCTGGTGTCACAGCATGTGGTGATGCTGTAGTGGCCAGTGGCTTAGATGGCTGTGACAAGGAATATATATATATTCATTCCTGAAGGAGAGGTCTACCCATGGCTATGAAGCACAGAGGCTTGAAGGTGACGTCACATGTAAAGGCAGTAAGCCTCTTTTAATAGCAAGTGTTTTGTGCATATTTGCAAGTTTATGTGTAGAAATACTGGGAAAGACGATTGACTTGAAGTGAGCTTCCCAGATGCATCTGGTTGAACTAAACTGGGGTGGGAAGGTGTGCTCACCGGGGCTGATGGAAGCTGGCGATTCAGAGCATCTGGAGAACCACAGGTTTTCCTGCTCCTGGATATGATGGGGCCTTTGGTCTGATCCATCAGGATTATTCTTATACTCCTAAGTGCATATCATGACTCCCTACCTTAAGAGGACTCAAGGAGAGTTTTGTTGCACAAGAATGGACCAAATACCCGGGCAAAGTTCTACCCACCCAATCCATCACACTGTGTTCTATCCTGAAATAACTAGACCCTGGAATCAGCAAGAGTCTGATTGCAAGTCTGCTAGTTTCCTCAAGGGAACAATGAGGTCCGAGCCTGACTCTAGTCTAACCTGCGGAGGATGACAGGTGCCTTTTCACACTGGCTCCTCCGACCCTTCACAGGGAAGGCCACAGCTCAAAGTTACGCTTACTCTCTTGGAGAACACCCTAAGGGGTGATAGAAACTGTAGTCCATCAGTATTTGGATGGCCACAAGTTGTCCTCCATGATCTAGATTTTGGCAAGCTACATCGCAGCCACCAAGACTATGACAATACAAGCAGATACGCACATACTGCATCCATTGGCATGTCATTCTTGCCAATTTGATGCTAGCAGGACTTGGGCTTCTCTAAAGGCTAAAATCTGGGCATTTGGGCACATGATCCTGATGGCTCCTATTCTTAGGACAGGATGACCTCTGCTCCAGCTCATTTCAAGATGTTGATTAGCTATCTGGAAGCAGGAAGGGGAGGCTAACAGTTCTCCAGACACACATGTATGCATGCTGGCTTATTAATGCATAACCATATCCCAGGGGACAAACGAAAAATCACTTTATAGCTTTCTCTTAATTTTATTTGCTGCTGGAATTCAATTTAGTCCCTTGCTAATTTGCAAATGGCAAGTGCCCTTGTTGAGGCAAACAGATGACACCGGAGATGGAGGGCAGCCGCCATACCCAGTGGGAGAGCTGAAGTTCAAAATGTGCTGCCTGGAACACCTTAATTCAAGAGACATGCTCAAAGATACCCTTAAAGCTCTGCGTATTTGTTTTCTGGGGAAATGAGAACCCTTTTCAACCTGCTTGGAGAAGAAACAGCAGCAAAGATGCCTGGCTGGGAGAGGAATGAATAATTGGGGGATATTCTGCAACACCATAAAAGAAATGAAGTGGACTGACACATGGCGCTGGATCCAGCCTCTTTTTCGAGTCTGGAGAGCAAATACTGCAGGTAGAAGAGGCCTTCTGCTTCTTCCCCCAACCACCACATACCCTCCAAATCCTCTCCAGAGACTGCCTCAGCGTTCCGGAGATTTGAAGTGGAAGCAGGAGGCAAAAAGGACACAGATGTCCTGCCAGTGGCATCAGTTTTCTGGGCACAAGACGGACTTCAAGCTCTTTACAGGAGATCATTAGCAGTGCCATGTAGTCCACTGTACCATCTCTCAAGGTTGAGTTGAGCAGTAGAAAAGTATAATTCATCAACTATGATAAGGTTGTTGACATGTAGGTTAACTTGTTCATCTGAACAATCCATAGTCTGCAACTCAAAAATAAACCATGCATTCTCTTCATGAGTTGTTGGGAGTTAACAAGCCATGGGTTGCTAGCTCAACTGGGTTCCGATAACATGAAAAACTGTGGTTCAACAACAATCCACAGTCAACCCATACTCCTTCAATGAGCTAAAGCTTCCTGTTGATCCACTGCTGAACTGTACTCACTTCAAGGTTATTGCCATGTGGTTGCAAAGCATTACTGGGCCCATGTAACCTGAAATGTCTGTAAGGCTGTGAGCGTGGCAACACTCATCTCTGGGGTCCCCAATCCGGTGTCCGTTGGCACCCAAGTGCCCAGAGAGGCCTCTCTTGTTGCGTGCCAAGCTCCCAGCTCAAGCAAATTTCATAAGATTTATTATGATTATGATTATTATATTTTACCAGGAAGCTTAATAGGCCTCCAGCACTACCTCGCTTGGCATTCCAAGGTACAGTTTTGTGTTTTGGAGCTCAGACCGTAACTCTGCCCCATACTTAGGTTCTCGGGCAAATTACTTCCCCCTTAGTCATACTGGGTTGGCTTCTGTGAAAGGAGAATTTTGTAACTCACCATATATATTGTGGCAGCCATTTTATCAATGGGCAAGTCCCACCCCCATGGGAGGCATTTGAAGAAATTGCCCATAATGCTGTCCCAGAATTCCAAGTGTGTTCACTGATGTGAAAAGGTTAGGAAACCCAATGATGAGGTGAAGGAACTGCCCTGGATATATAAATAAAAGACAACTCATGGCTATTCCACAATACAGAAATATGGCCTGAGTTCACACTTCAGCTAGATTCATCCCACCTCAAGGCTAGACCTGAGCTCAAGTGTTGATCTTTTCCATCACATTTACAGCTATTTGCAGGGAAAGGGACAGGGTCAGTCCAATGCATGGGGCTTTGCGGGGGTGTGGGGTGTGGGGGGGGGTCATCCAACCCATAGGTCTTGAACCTGAGGCCTGGGAGCCAAATCTAGCCCACCTGAAGTCCCAGTCTGGTCCACCTGAAGGTCCTGAAATGCCTACCGCATATTGTCAACAAGAACTGACCGGAGCACTCCAGTGCTGCACACAAAACAAGTTTTCTACCACTAACTAGAACCCGTCATTGTTCTATGGCGGGGGGCTGGGACCTCTTTCAGCCTAAGGGCCCAATTCAATTTCAAAAAAACTTCCAGGGGCTGCATTTTAGTAAGGCGAAAGTGCCAAAATACCAGTATATTGTAGCTTAAAGCTCTTGCCACCCGGAACTAAGCACTGGAGGAGGCATTTCAGCACTGCAGACCAAGAACCAGGAAGACCACCAAACCATCAGCAGTTGGGAAACGGTGCCAGGAAGGGTGCAAGACCCCAGGGAAGACTGAAGGGCCAGTTTTGGGGGGTGGATTTGGCCTGAGGTTCGGCACACCTGTGCTACAGCAACAAGGGTCATGAGACGTGTTAAAAAGCTACTGTGGTTTCTGTTGCCTTGAGCTGAGCTGGCGACAAGGGAGAAAAGGGAACAGTGTGCTGTGTCGCATCGAGAGAATGGAAGAGGCTCAGTATCATGATTACTATCTTTTCATGAGGTCCACCGAAATCAATCGCCACGCTGGATTCCCCAGATAATAGATTAAGTCGCAACTTTGGCTCCTCGGGTCACTACAGAGGTATGTGAAAATTCTCTGCTCTTTAAAACATTGCCAAGGACTATTTGGCATGCTAAGGGCTTCTTTAATCACCTGCTTTTATCTACCAGAGGTAAGTGTTCCATTTGTTTATAAAATGGATTTGGCTGTAAACTGTGAATTTATGTTGTTTCTCTTCCTCCTGTTCTTTGTCTTGCTTGAGAAAGAGTTCAGGGAAAGCTGAAACCTTTGCTCTCTCTCCCATCCAGGAAGGATTGGCTTTAATGGAAGATGTTGTCCTCTCAGACTTCCCTTCAAGCCAGTTAACACTGTTGGAGGGTCAAGGAACATGAAAGTAAGGGAAATGTTTACATACCTCTTCTTGAGCACACGTTTGAGCATTTTTCAGAAAAGGTCCCTTTGGGAGAATGAAATTGGGATGGGTGTGTTGCTCCTTGGTAGCTTGCGTGAGGGTCTGCATAAGGTCTTGAATGTTCAAGTTCTCCTGGCAACGACCTACAGATGGCGAGATTAAAGGGTTGACACCTTAATGATGTGTTGCTATGTGGCATTTCTAGAAAACAAAGTTAATCTGAAATCCTGTTACTATCGAAGGCTTATTTTAGCAGAATAGGACAAAGCTGCTAACTAAGGTTCTGCACTTCAGGTTAAAAAAACAGTCCCCCAGTAATGCTCCAGATTGTTATTAGCTTTCACTTGACATTCTTGGAATTTCCTATTATTATTCAAATGATGAGTTGCCCCTATAGCAAAGGTTATGAATGCAACAAACCATAAAATGCAACAAACCAATGATAAAACACATTTAAAAAAAGGTTTACAAACAGCATCATTCATTCATTCAAGTTTTCCAGTCCTAGCATCTTCTACACATATCTGTTCTCACTGGCACAGATACGAGTGTACCAATTCATTGTAACCCACAAGCATTAATTACCAGGGTCCTGCATATGAGCTATGTTTTCACCAATTATGTGCATCATCCATTTTGCTGCAAGATTTTCTCACTTTCAGTGAAGATGCTATAATGGAAAAATTTAACCAGCTGTAACCATAGCTGCCAAGATGCTTGGGTCTAGTCAGGCAGTAACCCTTTTCCTCGCTTGACCTTGGGTCGAGCACCTGTGCCGCATAAGCTGTGTGATTTATAAGTCTTTCAACTTTGTAGAGAGTAATCCCTTGGACACCAGCAATACAGCTGCCTCCCTCTTTAACAAACTATTTGCCAGAAGGTTAAAAAAATGCTCACAAATTGAGAATGACAGTGATTACAAGTATACATGTTGTCCCAACTTTCATGTTGGTTGATTACATTTCCAGAGCCACGTTGATTTCTCTTCTCTTTAGGAAAAAAGTTTCTGGAAGACTCTTATGATTACCTTCATAAACTGGATGGGACTACTGCTGCTTAGTTTTTTAGTCTGTTTTAATGCCTTAAAGTTATGTGGGTCCATTAATGGGCAATTGTCTTAATCTCCGCTGTAAGCATGTTGGCACTGCAAGTAGAAGCTGTTTGTATATAATTGAAACAAGGAAAAGCACCAGGTTGGAATAACACTTTGTGCTAGGCGATGACACTAGCAAGCCACATTACAGAGCTGTCCCGTCTGAGTCACAGATACTTGCTAACACCTCTAAGCATGGCCTCTGCCATGGTACCTAGATGTAATCTTCTGGGTGAACAGCCCACCCACTCCATTTTTTGAGGGGAGGTTGCTCCACGGCAGGGAAGGGACAGCCACATCACTCCCTTGGCCTTCTTGCTCCACGTGCATACTGTGCTGACTGCAAAGCAATGCTCTGGCTACGGACACCTGCCACCTAGTGCCTGAAGACCACTGGCACATGGAATATCACTAAAACCAGTAAGGCCACTGAAAAACCCAAATGATCCTGCAGTCAGGACCAGCCAAACAACCCTGTGGTGCTTTTAGCATGAATGCCAAGTTTCAGGTCCATAGGTTTCACTGTCAAGGTGCCATGGTGCTAACAGGCAGACACACACCCTTTTTTATTATTATAGTTTGGGTTGGATCCAGACTTAGTCATATTTAGAGTAGAACCATAGAAACATCTAGTCTGACCCCCGGCTCTAGCTGGCTCTGCTCACGACATGCCTACCATGTGCATGTCTAGCCTGTCCTTGAACACCCTCACTGACGGGGCCTCAACCCTTGGAAGCCCATTTCATACCCTTGGGGTCCTAACTGTCAGGAAGTGCTTCCTGGCATCCAAATTGAAACTTGGTTCCCTGAGCTTGGCTCCATTGGAGCGCATCCTGCTCTCCTCTGCAGGGGAGAACAGGTCTCTACCCACCTCTGTGTAACATCTCACATACCTGTATGTCACCAACAGATCCCCTTGGAATATTCTCTTCTCCAGGATGAAAAGACCCAGTTCCCTCAGACCCGCCTCATACGGCTTTCCCTGCAAACCAGCCACCAACCTTGTGGCCCTACGCTGCACTGACTCCAACCTGGCTATATCCTTTCTGTAATGAGGGGCCCGAAACTGAACACAATGCTCCAGTTGCGGGCGCACTAGAGTCGTATAGAGTGGTAGTAATACCTCTCTCGATCTAGAAACCACACTTCTGGCTATGCAACCAAGGGTGGCGTTCACCCTCTTGACCACCGCATCACCCTGCTGACTCATGTTTAGCCTGCAGTCAACCAGTACCCTGAGATCCCTTTCGCAGGTGATGCTCTCCAGCCACTTGTCCCCTAACCTGTACTGATGACACCCATTCCTATGCCCCAAGTGCAATATCTTGCACTTATCCACATTGAATGCCATCCTGTTGTCTCCTGTCCACTTCCATAGTCTGTCCAGATCCTTCTGGTTCTGGAGTACCTGCCCCTCAGTTGTGGCCATTGTCCCAGTTTTAGTATCATCTGCGAATTTGATCAGCAGACTGTTCACCCCTTCTTCCATGTCATTTATGAAAAGATTAAACAGGATCGGCTCCAGTACAGAGCCCTGGATGACCCCGCTTGTCACTGGCAGCCATCTTGATGATTCCCCACTAATGGTTCAGTCAGTCAACCATGTCCTAATCCATCAGACAAGTGCATTGGTCTATCTCAAAACTCCTCAATTTCTCAACCAGAGTATACCCAGTGAATTCAATGTTATTTAAGTTGTGACTAACTGCAGTGTGAAGAAATGTATGTATGATCTCCAGTTACCAATAAAAAATTCTGGTCTAAACAACTGTTTAGAAGTAACTTAGTTTTGCATTGTTTTGCACCTGGCATCTGCTGGCAGAGCTCATGGTTCTAGTGGAAAACAAAGTACGCTCCACAAACTAAAGTCTGCCCACCACTGGGCAGAGAAGAACACGAGGAAGGAAAAGACAGTAGCATCACCTAAGAGTCTGATGAAGGGACTGAATTCACAAAGGCAGGCACCGTGAGCTTCCCTGAAAGGAAGGTTCTAGTCAGAGTTCTGAAGAGGGGCTTCTGGCCAGATAGTCCACAAGAAGCAGTGAGACAGCAGGACGAGACAACTGGCTGACTTCTTTTATGATGCGTCATTTCCATGAAATCCCTGACTAGAGGGGAGATTTCAAGGAGAGCAGAGACAATGCACCAGCTGAAGAATATTCATCTTCACCGTGAGCCTAATGCAAGGGACACCTTGTATCTGCAAAGTGAGTCTGAGACAAGGCACAGACTACTGCATCATTCCAGATGACCTAAGTGGGGTGGAGATGGCAGAAGGACAAATGGATTTAAGCAGGGAACAAGAACCAAGATGTGCTGCTTTGTTAAGGAAACAGTAACTTAAAGCAGCTAATTATTAAAGCAAGGGCAGGGAACCTATTTCAGGCAAAGGACCAAATTGAATTTTGGAAAAGCTCTCAAGGAATGCTTTCTAGTAACGGGTGGGTCCAAAGACAAAGGGTATGGGACACATTTTGACTTAAATCTCTTACTGCCCATAACCAAGTCTTAGGAAAAGAATTGCAAGCTTTTAGAAAGGCTGCAGATTACTGACCAGTGGCGAAAGGGCCATGGCCACCTGAGGATTTTGAAATCTTGCCTTGATTATTTAGTCAAGAGCAGTGGTGGCAAACCTATGGCACGTGAGCCAAGTCGCCCCAGTATCGCTCCAGCAGGCGAGCATTGGATAACGGCATACACAGGGGCCATGCGCATGCTCGGAAAGGAATAATGGTGCCAGGCGATGACATCACAAGCTGCGACTCATTAGCCGCAACTCGTCCGACCTTTCACATGGCAGGTCAGTGCACTGCGAAAAATATATATATTAGCTTAGAATGTGTTTAGAATGGGCAGAAATGATGAGCTGTGCAGAAAAAGCTACTCAAGAAGGATTTTTCAAAATCGCCCTCTTTTCAATGGAATTTACGCCCTATATTAGAGTTAAGGCTGTGCACCAGGGCAGGGTTGGGCTTAGAAAAATGAGGTGTCCTGGCATGATTTTGATGGTTGGAATGTGTTTGGAATGGGCAGAAATGATGATCAGTGCAGAAAAAGCTACTCAAGGAAGGCTTTTTCAAAATCACCCTCTTTTCAATGGAACTTTCACCCTATATTAGGGTTAGGGGAGTGCACCAGGGTAGGGTTAGGCCAGTGGTGGCGAAACTCTGGCACACGTGCTACAGCGGGAATGCAAAGCCCTCTCTATTGGCATGCGAGTGAAGTTGCCCCCGCTTCACCCCAGCAGCCGAGGATAACAGCATACATCGAGGTAATGCGCATGATCGGAAAAGGGTAGCTGCGCCAGGCTATGAAATCACGAGCCGCAACTCACTAGCTGCCACTTGTCCAAGCTTTCACATGGTCAGTCAGTGTGCTTCCAAGGTTACGTATATATATTTGCTTGGACTGGCTGTGAATTGTTTTTTCCAAATTAAAACCTCAGTTTTCAGGTTTTATTGTAGTGTTGGCACTTTGTGATAAATAAGTGGGTTTTGGGTTGCAGTTTGGGCACTTGGTCTCTAAAAGGTTCACCATCACTGGTCTAGAGCCTCAGTACCAACTGCATTAAGAGGATAAAGTTGCAGTAAGAACTTAAGCAGAGGCAGCAAAAATGACAGAGTATTGAAGTAAGTTACCCTCTTTACTCAGCTCCCCTAAATGAATCCAATTTTCCACATTTGATTGTCTGAGAAATAAGATAATAAAAAGGTGTATATCCTAGCCTCCACAGTTGAGATACAATCTGAGTTAATAGGGATAACACATTTTCTCCCTTACCTATTTTGTGGCTTTGCATGTTGGAGGAATTTACAGCATATTGCCATGTGGGCATATGCAAGCAGTTAAGTCCCATTGAATTCAATAGAGTTAATTTCCAGCTAAATGGATATAGGATAAGAGGTTATATGAACCCAGAAGTGATCAGTCCAGGTTAAGCAAATTCAGCAGTGTGATGCGACGGTCAAGAGGGAGAACGTCACCCTTGATTGCATAGCCAGAAGCATGGCTTCTAGATCGAGAGTGGTATTACTACCACTCTATACAACTCTTGCGCACCTGCAACTGGAGTACTGTGCTCAGTTTTGGGCCTCTCATTACAGGAAGGATATAGCCAGGTTAGAGTCACTGCAGCGTAGGGCCACAAGGTTGGTGGCCAGTTTGCAGAGGATGCCATATGAGGTGAGACTGAGGGAACTGGTCTCTTCAGCCTGGAGAAGAGGAGACTCAGAGGGGATATGTTGGTGACATACAGGTATGTGAGGAGGTGTCACATGGAGGTGGGTAGAGACCTGTTCCTCCCCTGCAGAGGATGGCAGAAAGTGCTCCAATGGAGCAAAGCTCAGGGAGCCAAGGTTCCATTTGGATGCCAGGAAGCACTTCCTGACAGTCAGGACCCTGAGGGTGTGGAATGGGCTTCCCCGGGAGGTGGTTGAGGCCCCATCGGTGCGGGTGTTCAAGGATAGGCTGGACGTCCACATGGTGGGCATGTCATGAGCGGAGCCGGCTAGGGCCGGGGGTCAGACTAGATGGCTTGGGAGACCCCTTCTGACTCACTCCGTTTCTATGTTTCATTCAGAATAAATAATCTAGCTGTTGGCTTTCACTCTCCCTTCAAACGGCTATTTTTGACTACTCCTCCCCTTTGCACACACATTTATAGCCTACCTTTCTGTAAAACATTCTTCCGCCACCTCCTCTCTCTTTCCGCCCTTCCTTTCATTTAAAGTACACATCTACTTTGTCTTCCTCCTACACCCACACTATGCCCACAATTCTTGCATCTCCTGTACATAGACAATCACTCAGGTGTAATATGCAGGCAAAGTACAATCATGGCTGAGAACTGTACTGTACATGGCTGAGTACAATCCACTGGAATTGTGATGACAGGTTCTCATACTATCTCAACAACTCACTGATAAATCAAAGTTCAGTCATCCAGCCCCCAAGAAAAAGACTGAAGCCCAGTCAGGCAGAGCCTTTATTATGACCCACAATTTTGTCTGAATGTGGATTCTGGAATTTTCAATTTACAAAAGAAGGCAAAATATAGTTAGGTGCCAATTTCTATTGCCTTACGGTGCCGAAGACAGCAGCCTCACTCACCCTCACCAGCGACAATCGAATCCTTTCTAGTAGCTAGGGCTATTGTAATGCCTTACAATAGAAAAAGGTTAGAGAGAGTTGTCGCCATGGAGATAGCAGCCCTGGATGGCATTCATGGTTAAGACTGTAGAGAAATGTGGCACAGAACAGCCACACTGTGGATTGTTTCATGCCCCACTTCTGCCCTATTTTCTTTAACATGAAACAAACAACCTGCCCACACTTACCTTCCATCTGGTGGGTATGGTTTCCCACTTCTTCCATCACTGTATCTCAAGGGGCTCTCTCTGTGCCTGTAATCTTTATCTCGATGAGGCCTCTCCAAATGAGACATCTTCTGGCTGCACAAGATATCTGTCAATGCAGAAGACACAGCTCTACTTACAAGCCTTCAGATTCAATTTGTTGAGTGACAAGTATTTGCAAAACAATGTTACAACTGTTGCTTAGCAAGTAAGACAAAGGAGGTGCATTAATTACGAGAAAGTTCCCTTTGTAGTTTAGTTTCTAAAGCTTCCAATAGAAGCATATGTTCAAGCGAGCAAATCTCTTCAGCCTTCAGAAGGCCCAAAAGATGCATTCAGCATGAAGATGTAAGATCAGGAAAAAAGTCAACAATGCAACATGGACACATTCCTGTTTTCAAGAGGCAATAAAAATATGATGTTATGAACATGGCAGAGATCTCCCAAAATCCATTAATTAAAACTGTTTAAAGTTTACATATTATTATGTCCCTAAAATATAGCTTATTTCACTGAAATATACATCTTCATGCTACATAACTAAAACCTAATCCTTATTTCAGGATGAATAACCTTTGGCCTATATTGTATATTACATAGAAAACTATCTATATATACCTATTCCTCAAAAACCATTTAAAAAAATCCAATTTAAATAAAAAAGATTTAAAAATCTTTTTTTTTTTTTAATCATTGACTTTTATTCTCCCTGATGGGTTCACACATGCACACAGTCCCTTCACAGCAAGTTAAATCACAGCTTAATGTGTGAAGTGGTTCAGCTGATAAGTATTGTGTCTGAGCCAAGAGGAAATTCTGGTTTTGGTGTTTGATCTGGTATGACTCATTCACACATGCAAGAAGCCAACCCATGTCACAGGCTGCAAGTGCCATGGGCCAGTTTTGCAACAGCAGTGCCCTTTCCATTCTTTTAACTCTCCATGGGGGAGACTGAAAGGCATCCATGGCAAGCTCCCAAGGGCAAGAGCTGCTCTGTTCTGCACGGCCTTCAATGTCCAGCTCTCTGGGGTTTCTGTTTCCAAATGAAAGCCAGGGTCCAAGAAGAATGTGCATTGCATCAGCATTCATAGTTCCCAGCAAGGTCTACCATGGGGCCACTTTGAGGAGAGGATGATGGAGCCCGGACCCCATCCCATAAGTGAACTTCAGCAACACCTTAGTAACTGGTGAAGACAAGATTCAGCCTCAGCAAGCCAGATTTCACCCTGTGGGGAAGTAGGACAACCATCCCAAACAAGGTGCCCTCCAGATATGCTGGACTACAAGTTCCATTATCTCCAGCCAGCACAGAGTGACTAGGGACAATAGGAACTGTGGTCCAGCACCTCCAACAGATTCCAGGCTGGGGAAGATGGGGGCAGTGTGGGTCAGAAACTGTTTTAAATGGTTTCTTGAAGCTTGTAGTTGTAATGGGAGAAGTTGCACTTCTTAGCATTCTCCCTTTCCCCACAACTTTCTTGGAAATGCTACTGCCTGAGCCAGGCACAAGCAATCCAGGCTGCGACACATCTTTCCCCCCATCCAGAAGTTAAGGCTTTCCCAAATTGGGCTTTCTGATCCTAGATTGGGATCAGAGTGTGAGAGCTGGGTCAGGATTGAAAGATTTCAGTTGCCAGCTTCTCTCTCCCCCGCCCCCACTCCAGGAACCTGCCAAAAACCAGGGCAGCAGAAGATAGGAGACTTAAATCAGCCCACTTAAGTTGGTGCCCTGCAGATGTTTTGGGACTTTCATCAGCCCCAGCCAATGGTTAGGATGTGGGGAGCTGATGTGCTAAGAACCAAGAAGATCTGGAACTCAGGCCCACAGGACAAAACACTGCACATGCTATTTCAAATATAGGTGCATCATTAGAAATAAGTATTGCAATTTATGGCAGGCAAGCTAACCTCTTGCTTGCCTTCAGGAGAGAACTGTCCCAGACCATGTGCCACATTTTTCCTTTGCCCTTCAGGATCAAATCCAGATGGAGAGGCTAGAGGGCCTGGGACCAGCAAAAGTCTGGTGGGTACCTTAAACATTTACTGATGACTTGCAAACTGTGCAGGCAAGGGAGGTTTTGGCAATGTATTGCAGACTATAATCATCCATGCATCTAAGTGCGAACTAATACAATTACAAAGGAGTAACTCCCATTAAACATATGAAAAAAGCATCACATGCTCTAACCTCATCACCAAAAGCACAGATCTGAAACAAAATGTGGAGTCACCATCTGTTCTCAAGATGAGGTGAAAACCAGGTGAAGAGACAGAGAGGACTGCTGCAAGGGAGGTTCACATTTAGTTTCAAATTAGTATTTTATTTCGGCAGTTTCCGGGATTCTAGAACTTTTTAACAGGTCTTGGATTCTAATTTCTGGAAATCCTAACATCTATACTGTGTGTTGCAGTATTAAGTTTCTAGCCACTTCATCATCCTGCAACTCTTAAAGTACTGAAATGCATAGCTGGATAGCTTTATTAGGACCAATCAAAATTCCTAATTGAGGTATTGCCTGATTATGAATCTGGGGCTTCAATTTCTCCTGGACAAGCATGGCTACTTTTAATTGTTTGGTTGGTTGCTGCTTTTTTTAAATTACCAAAGACATCAATTCCCAGCTTTTTCTCTGAATCTAGATATTGGAACTATCTTCAGGGTAGATAAGACAGATTGCAACTTCGAACACATATTTACTGTGGAGGAAGAGTTGAACTGTACACCTACATGGGAATAAATCCCATTGAACTCAATGCAACTTCCAAGTAAACTCAAGTGAACTTCCAAGTGAACTCAATACAACTTCCAAGTAAATATGTGTAGGATCACTCAGTAAATTTGATGCACTCATGAGCATGCTAACCCCACACACTGAGCTATATTTTAAATTGATTTTAAATTGAACCAGGCTGTGTCCACTATTTTATTTTATGTATTTTAATTATTTGATTTTTTTTTGTATTTTATGCGGAATTTTATGATTGTAAGCTGCCCTGAGGCTCATGCAATGGGGTGGCATATAAGTTGTTTAAATAAATTAATTAAATAAATAAATATATCATCTCAGCTACCCTTCCTCACTTCACAGGTCTCTGTAGCCACATCCAGGGCTGACCCCAAGGCATTTTATTGTGGAGCAGTACCCAAAGTCAGCCCAGTTGTTTTGGCCCCTGAATAAGAAAACTGCAAGTACCTGTCCCTTCCCATAGCAATGGAAATTAAATAGTAATTAATAAATTATTAATAAATAATAAATAATGAACAATTTGCTGCTTTTTCAGATGTCTACCTAGGAGGGGGAGAAGAGACTGTCTGCATGTCTTTAAAGAATCCTGCCCTCTATGGACACCCTTATTTGTAAAAAGGCATGTATGGTCAGGGAAGAGGAAGAATTTGATTTCAGAATAAATCCTGAAGTTGAAAAGGTTCAAGGGGATTGCAGGAGGGGAAGCACTTGTGGGCAAAAAGCCAGCTAGTCCAGAGGGTTCAGAGGCAATGGCGATCCTCAGGGACCCTGGACCTTTATTTCAACAAGTTACATGAAAAACATCTTTCCAAACAAGTTTCTGTCCAATGACCTCCGGTCAATGTGCGAAGTCGTGTCCGACCCATCGCGACCCCATGGACAACACTCCTCCAGGCCTTCCTGTCCTCCACCATCCCCCAGAGTCCACTCAAACTCACACCAACTGCTTCAGTGACTCAATCTAACATTATGCAGCAGGAAATGTGCCTAGTGCCAATCCTTCAGGCCAAGAAAGACCGTGCAAGCACCACATCCAGGCCACACAGAAACAGAGCGAGTCAGAAGGATCCTCCTGGGCCATCTAGTCTGACCCCCAGCTCCATCTGGCTCGGCTCAAAAAGCACACACACTCCAGGACAATGACTGCAGATCCAAGGAGCCCAAGCAAACCGGGGCAAGCTGTACACTTATAGATCACCTTCCCCGATTTCAAGCAGTACTGCTCATTTAAACCCTTCTGGCTTTTTCCCCTCAAGGAACGAAGTCTCTCCAGCTTGCAGAGGCAACAACTGAGGAAGACCTACCGCCCTCCGTCTGATACCAGTGCAGCCAGTGCACCTGAGCCTCCTCTTGCCAGCCCTTTGCTGGCTACTCTGGTCCCCGGGGCAGGTGCAAGAGCGCTGGACGGGGCAAGCCTCTGCAGAGCCAGGCCGGTTCGGAGAGAGCTGCGCGCCAGGGGTCTGCTCTTGTCAGGCGACTGTGAACCCTGGACTTCAGAGTGGCCCTCTCCCCTCCAGTTTCAAAGGTTGCTCCCCTCCTGGTACACTCCCCATTCGTCCGCTAAGGGAGCGAGTCCTGAGATCTCCTGCTGAGCTCAGATGGGAAAAACAGGCTCGTAGCAGAGGGCGAGGGCGGGGCGAGGGCGTGGGGGAAGCGCTAACGATGCAGGGCACCGCTGAGAAGAGCCGGGGCGCGTGTCCGGGCAAGCCACGAACTAACTCTGCGTAGCTGGTGGTCAAGAGCATCTGGGGAAGGCTGGCATTCAAAAGGATCCCGCTGTGAGCGCGCAGGAGGGGAAGGAGGTCCCCTCGAGGTCGTCGAGGGGGCCGCGGAGGGGAAGGAGCTTGGCGGGGGCCTTGGAAAGCCCTGGATCCACGCCACCATCGCAGCCACGCTCCCCTTACCCTGGGTCGCTCTCCGCCGCGCCGCCTCCCCGCCACTCACCGCCGGGTCGAGTGAAGACGCGCGCGCTCGAAGGGCCTCGCCGGCGCTCTTTGTTCCGGGAGCTGCCGCTCCAGCGGGTGCGAGGGAGCCCCTGCAGGCGCCCCGGCGCCCCTCTTCGTCGCAGAGCCTCCTTTCGGCGGGGCTGCCCGAAGCCACCTTCCGACGCGCTTCCGTGTGCTCGGGCCACGGAGGGCCGGGCGGGGGCAGCGGGGACGCTCCGCCGGCGCCTGTCCGCCTCCGGCCGCCCCACCCACCTGCCCGGCGGGGGGAAGAGCCGAGTTTCGCTTTACGGAGCTCGCAGTTTCAGGTGCTGGCCGGACTTGGCGCACCTGTAGCCGTCGAGCCGCTGGAGGGAACGCGGCCAAAATGCGAGGCCGCCGAAGCGTTGGAAAAGGTCGCCCGTCCCGTCGGAGAGTAGTCTTTTTCGCCTCGCCTCGCCTGCGCCCCAGATGAGACTTCCATACACCCCAGTCAGCAAAGCTGGTGTGCTGGGGTTGATGGAAGTTGTAGTCCAACACACCGGAAGCGCACCTGGTTGAGCAAGGCTGTCTGAAGGGGTCGGGGATTGGGTTTTGAATTCTTTTAAGAGGTCGAGACACACGCCCTGGCCCCCAGGAGGTGACCAGGGAGAGGAGACGCTGAGCAACGCTAAAGCACAAAACGGCAGCAGCGTCAAAAAGTTCATGATTTTAGATACGCGGGAGCAATAGCGTAATTACGGTATTACGATCAGTTTAAAACAAGCATAGCCATAGCTGGAGCTTCCTTATTCCCACGTGGAGATACCCCCACTCCTCTTAGATCATGCAGTAGACCCCCCCCCCCCCGCTCCGCCCCGTGCTATCAACAGCCTCCAATGAAGCACTGTGTCCTTGTCCCAGACGTGGATCCGGTCATTTTTGTGCATAGACCACCCTCACACAAACACAATTCCACCTTTCCCCGCATGGTATTCTGATGGCTTGGGCTACAAATCCTAGGGCTGGTGGGGTTGAGGGCCAAACTATTTGGGGGGCGCCAGGTTGGGGAAGGCTAACACTGTTTAAGACTGGGTGGGTCAATTGTAACCATCTGTTGGAACGCTCTTTCTAGACTTCAAGGCTGAGAATTAAATGGACGGGAAACATAAGTTTCTCCTCCATTTACTTCTCAGCTGCAAAGTCTGCTTATATTTCCCCTCCATTTACTTCCTAGCGATGAAATCTGCTTATACAGTGGTACCTCAGCTCACTAAGGCCTTAGTTCACGTCCAAATCTGGTCCAAATCTGCTCGCAAACAGAAATTTCAGAAAATTTTGCCTTAGGTTGCGAACTCCGCATGGGGTAAAGATCGTGCTCATGCTGGGGGATGGGGAGATGGCTGCAATTGTGCTGGGTTGTGGGGGAGATGGCTGCAATCTTTGTTGTTCTTTGTCACTGCTTCAAATTTTTGTGATTAAGAAAACAGTTACAGAACAGATTAACCTTATTTACATTGAACCTTATGGGGAAATTTGACTTGGCTCACGACCAATCTGGGTCCTGACCAGAGTTGTGGGATGGATTAAGTTCATGAGCCAAGGTACCACTGTAGTTCCCTGCACCTGTCTCCACATAAATGTCCATAAGAGATTTTGGGTATTCCAGGGCTTAAAAAATAGTAATAGCCACCATTCCTAATTCTCATCAATGGTCATAGTGACCATTCGAGGCCCCTCTTGCTCCCTTTCTTAATAAACAGCAGATTACTTGGGGCTTGCCCATTGAAGTAACCTCTACACTGGAGCAGCGGTTCTGGCTAGTGAATAGCTGCAGCCTGCTGAAGAAATTTACTCTAATCATTTACTGTAATAGGATGACAACAAGCAGGGCTAACGTCTTTAGCCTCTCCATTGCCACAATACCACGTCACATGTTATAATAAGACACACTTTGGTCCCCTCAGGCTTAAACTTGCACGGGCCTGAACTCAAATATAAAAATAATTTTGAGGATCTACTTGTTAAAGGCAAAATGGAAATACAAATTCAACTACTTCTTTGTGCTTGAACAGAAGATATCAAGGGCCCAGCTTGGCGTTAGGTTAAAAAAAACCCAGATAACTCTGAAAATATGAGACTTCGGGACTATTTTTTAAATGCCTGTTTTCCATTGCACAATCTCCTTGGAAAATCAATCAGCTGTGAGGGGGAGAGGAGAGGGTATCCTGTGTATTTATCTATTTTTTATCCCACTCCTCAGGCCAAAGAGACTCTGGGAGCAGCTTAAGTATAATCAGTGAAACAAGGCAGTCTGCTGGTTATGAGGTAAAAAGACACAACACCTAAGGAAAAGGAGAAAATGATGGCAGATCTTCTGGCTATGGAATGGCCATGCCTCCCATCTCATTTCCAGGGGTGGCAGTCCAAGTGGTGCTCATGATGACCCTGAGCTCCATTCATTCCGATGGATCTACCCTAACTAGGCCTAGCATAGGTCTCCATCCGTGACTTTGGGCCAGTCATGGACTCTTGGCTCAACTCACCTCATAGGGTTGTTGTTTTGAGGATAAGACTGAGAGGAGGAGGAGAATTATGTAAGATGTCTTGAGAGTCTTGAAAGAAAAAAAAGGCAGGACATAGATATGAGAGATGCTGGATTTTAAGTAAACAGATAGTAGAAATACACTTTTCCAACTTTTTTCTACATGAGGCATTTCTTGTATATTTATGATTTTTCACTTATCCTAGTTTGTGGGGGCTTTAAAAATGTTGTCCCCTTCCCATGTTTTCAAGTGCTTCTTAGATCAAGGGGAAGGGGCGGATCAGGTTCATGCTGCTGCCCCCCCCCCCTTGCAGTGGGAGCCCCACTCCTGCAACATCGACTGTTTCTGCTGCCATTTGCCACATTCAACAGTCTCCATGTAAGCTTCATGTCAACAGTCTCCATGTAAGCTTCAGCATGAACATGGATCCCAGTCTTGGAGAAATCACAACCACATGTGGAAGAATTCCAAACTCCTCACTCGGGTGTTACTGTTATGAGGACCACTTAATGTCACAAAAACACAGGAAATTCAAGATCCATAGCCCTCTTCATCAGGCAAGATGCTGCAAAGTCATGGGCAAGGGCTGTCGGACAGAGCAGCAGAGGTGAAGGCAGCTATCCTATGCGTATTTAGGCAGAAACAAGTCCTATAGCTCCCAGCGTTCCCCAGTCAGAGGGAGATGTCTAAGGAGGCAACGAACTGAATCACAACTTGACACTGAAGTCATCACCTCTGCTCTCTCCAGCCACTTGGTGGAATGAACCAATTTGATTTTTCCCCCCGCTTTTTTTAAACTAGTACAAAAATTATATCCAGGTTGCTCATATAAAAGAACTTTCTAGTTTCTCTCTATTGCTCCTTTCACCTATCCAAGGAACCTACAGATGAAGAGAGCGCCAAGTAACTGCTGGATTTGATCATTTCACGCATGTGGAACCAAGCAGCACATGTTTGTTTCATTTTCCTAGCAGTTCTTGGGCAACCACAGGTGCAGCCTCAAACCATTGAACCAGCTGGCTGAGCCCCATTAAACGCCTGAGTCTTCCTACTCCATTTCATCTTCAGTTTTGGATCCTGTAAACTTCATGGACATTGTTAGGCTTTTCTCTGCTCAGCCTGTCTCTGGATGGTTGGCTTTAGAAATATAGAAACAGAGAAAGTCAGAAGGGTCTTCCTGGGGCCATCTAGTCTGACCCCCGACTCTAGCCGGCTCCGCTCACATCATGCCTACCATGTGTGATATTGAACTCAAAGTCGTCTAGGAGTCCCAGCTGTGCCTGACTTTCGATCCGTCACAGGTCACAGTGGGGCTCCTGAGGCTGCTCCTACCTGCTCTTCCCCTCTCAGGCCTCCAGCCATGGGACACAGCAGGTGCCTCAGGAACAGGGGTGACTGCTGCCAAAGGGGGGCCTTTGGGCAGCAGTCCTCTGCTTCCCTGTGCATGGGCTGCCTCACATTGGGCATGGCTGAGTGACGGGGGAGCATGAGGGTGGGTGGGGAGGCCATTGACTCCCACCTTCAATTGACAGACAATGGGAAGTTGGAATCTGCCATACTGGAGTGGGGTGGAGCAGGGCAGGGGTGGAGAGCTGCAGAGAGATGGAGGGAAGTACAGCTGGGGTTGGGTGTTGTATCTAGTGCGGCCCTGGTTTCGTCTTTAAGGTAATGAAAGGATTGCAAAAGAAATGAATGACAGAAGAATAGCTGTGCATTATGTATACAAAAAGCCCCTTAACAATACGGAATTAGTTATTTAATAGTATTTAAGAAGTTAAATGCAAGCGCAAAGGCATCCAGATGGTGGCCTCTTGAAACAACAGTGGGTTTTCAGTTTTATGGCTATTGTAAATGCGGCACACTTGTGACATCTTGTGGCACGTGTGACTCACAGCACCCCTGAGAGTTGTCCTCTTGTGCGGCAGTGAGTAAGGACGTCGATAGGTGCAGTCAAACATGCACACCCACTTTGATGCGACACTGCAGGTGCGAAAAGTGCATTGTGGACCTAATTTTGTGGTGAGAGCTTACCTCTGCCCAGGTATCATCTCCATGGAGAAAAACTGAAGTGCAAGGTGTCAGGCTTAGCAAATTCCAACAATGTTTGTTTCTTTATTGAGACAATATCTCTGCGGCATTTTGCACAGCAGTGTAGACAAGCTGGTGTACAAGAAAGCAGCAGACCACATGTATGTGTGAACTGGCCAGCTAGTCATCGGCTAGAGCAGAAGTCATCAGTCCTTTCAGACCATGGCTCTTCCTTGTTAACTAAACACGCCATACAGACCTGTAGGTTATTTTTAGCCCTCCACATCTATTGTTCTGCTTTTTTATGGATGTATGAAAGGACTAATAATAATAATAATAGAAACAGCATCAGCTAGGATTTCCCGTCATTGTCTTTTCACACATCTCCAGGAAGTCTAATACTTCAAATTTTGTCCCAACCCTAATTATTCTCACCAGGTACATTTTGATTTTAACTCACACATATAGTAAAGTTTAATCTTAAACCTTGAAAGATTTCAGACCCAGAGAATAACACTCAGACCTCAT